TATGTGTTTGTTGTTGGATAAAACGATGAATGTGTAATGTATGCATGAAACGTACGATAAGGTAACCGAAGCAAAATGTTAAAGATAAAAACGAACTTAACCTATAAAATGAACTCGAATCAAATTAGGATAGTGAATAAAAGTAATTCTTAGTGATCGCTTTTAATTCACAAAGAAAAAAGTCCATGTAATATAAACTTATTCATATATAGTTATATACATACGTGCATATATGTATGTATGTATTAATGTCTGTGTGAAATGGTTTATGTATTGTCATGTAAGGGAAAGTTCGTACGAGTATATTAAACTATACTGGCGTTTTATGCCCTTTTTTTGAAAAACAACATAGGCAAAAATAAATAAATAAAAAAAAAAAAAACTCAACAACAACTAGCATATTTCTGCTATGCTATTCAAGATACCTGATTACTGCTTGGTGAATTCGTTTCACTTCCAGCCGCTGATGCACTAGCCGATGCATTCTGTGTATATGATTGGAATGTTGGCAACACGGCATCACGACTACCGCGTGTGGAGACTTTCTCTTGCAAGGAATTGAGTGTTTTCGATAGCCATGGTTGCCAACTGTTGCGATTGGAATGCATTTCAGTGATGGTGGCACTCAATTGATGATTCAAATCTTGATTGCGACATTCAGCTTCAACATGCGCCAATTTTGCTTGTGCCAATTCTAATTCTAACTCACGAATACGTTGTGTAGCTATATTTATAGGATCTAATGGGCCTAGTGGTGCATCTGCTGACTGCTTATTGCAACTCTGCTGCGTTGATTTAATGTTGCTGCTGCTTCTGTTCACTAAAGCCGGTAATTTCACACTCTGATCAGTATTCTCCATTTGATGTATGCAATTTTTGCATTTGGAAACGATATTCTGCAAAAGGTAATACCATTTATTACATGCGGAAAACTGGTAATAAATGATTGTTTTCGTTTAAAATTTTTCTTTAACCCTAATTTTCACACAAGGACGTTTCACCGTGAAGAAGTAAAAAACATACTCACTCTCGAACTCTCACATTTCAAATGTTGTCTCTTTGATTGATGACCAATTTACTTACCATTACATTTCCAAGCGTCTCATTCAAGTTGGTCGTATCATTTTCTAATCTTTGTATAATTTGCTTATAATCTTGTATAATGCCTGTATGTTTCTTCTCTTTATCTACTGCCCGCTCATTAGCCTCGATCAACTTTTTTTGCATTTCATCGATCTCCGCTTGTAACTTTCGTCGTTCTTCTCCAAAACGATTCTCATAAACTTGTGCCTCTTTCTCCAAACGTTCTTTGTGCTGTTTTCTTAATTGGAATTCCTCCTCGTATTGCTTCAATTTCTTGATTTTTCGTTCGCAAGCCATTTTCATAACGCGTCGTGCCTGACTGGGACTTCGACATTTTTTCGGCAAAGTTACGCGGAAATACTTGAGTATACCCTCAAAGTCAAGTTGTCGCAAGTCAGTTTCACAAATGGAAAGTAAAGTCACAGCTACTTGGAAAAGCAAGGGTACACCGTCAAGTAGAAAAACATCAAGCACATGAAACACAAAGCTAAGTGGGAAACGTGCCGTGAAGAGTGTGAGAAACCATTGTGAGGCGTACATGTGTGTCTCAATGCCACATGCCGCAAAATGCTCATGCAATTTGGGTAATTGATCCTTGATCAAGCGATCAAGTTGGTAGAGGCGCAAATAGAGTACCTCAAAGCCTTGCTTATACAAATCACGTAGTCCATAATCATACATTAGTGCAACCAAAACACAAAAGGCATCCTCTTCGGGCATCTAAATAGATTAAAAGTGTTATGGGAAAATATTCAACAACGATATATGCATACTGCAACTTACGTGTAACAACAAACTTGCGGCAATGAAACTCAAACCTTGACAATATCCAACTTCACTGTCGTAGACGGCGTATGCCTTAGATACTTTGAAAAGTGCGTCTTGACCTAAGTACATAAAACGAATGCGTTTGAAAAAAGGAAACTCATTTATGGTTCAAATAAAGGCTAAAGGACCATTTACCTGAGCCACCGGTTTCCTTGAAGCATTTATGAGCTGGAAATGTTCTGTGTATGTCCCGTTGTATTACAGTTTCGCACTTGGTTTCCTATACAAGTAATTATGTATATAGGGTCTATACTGTCTACAATATGGGGTTTCACGACTACTTACTTTGGTAATTAAAATCTTATACATGTCGAGCATTTCGGTTTTGCCCTCTACATTAGCCAACTTCTGCCATATCTTCTCACGCAATGCTTCCGGTATGCCCAAACGCACTAGTGGAGGCAAATTTTTTGGTCGCTTTTCACCATCCCATTCTTTTAGTATCGGATCCCATTCATCTAATTTATCCTGTGAGCAATCTTTTGAGACTTCACCTGTACCACTCAACAACGGTTCATCTCCATCTGAACTGTAGTCGGTAGGGCAATCATCCTCAATGGAAACAATCGATGAAGAGCGTACAATCCGCGATAAATTATTCATTCCAAATTTTAAAAGTGATGACTGTTGTTGAGGTTCATTAATTTCCTCAGATGGATCGATTGAGCTCACTTTCCAGTTAAATTCATCGGTTGTGCGCTCCAATTGTAGATAGAAACGCAAAGTCATTGGCCGCTTCGATATGAAATGGTCCATTATACGTATTTCACTTGCTGACTGTATTACCACAGGTGTCTCAATAACAAAACGTACTGGGTCGCGAATGCCACGCACCACTATATCCACTGCTACAGTAAGAAACGTTTTAGAGGTCTCAACATTCAATTGTTCAAAGGCAGCTTCGTTAGCCTTCCATTCAGCACGTATTATATAAGGATTGAGACAAAGTGGCAAAGCTGCTGCAGCGGTGGTATTAGTATCGCCTGAAACATTAACCATAGTACCACCGTTACCATTTGCACCACCGGCAGTGGTGCTGGGCAATTGGTAACTCATGCTAACCATATCAATCAGTTGCATATCACCCTGGCGTACTAGCTTGCCAGGACTCAATAGCACACCAAAACAACGTTCTATAAACAACGGTTGTAGTACATTGGAAGCTGTTTGTTTAACCGTAATAATCACTTCCTTATCAGTGTTTGCACGCAATTTAAAGCAATTGCGATCGCGAGGAACCGCCGAAAAGGAATTTTTAGCGACCTTTTCGCGAATTTCCAATGACACAATAAATTCATAGCCAGCGGTGTTAAGTGGATTTCCGCTCACATCTGATGTTATCGAATTCAACATATTGCTATCAATAGCTGAGGTCAAGCTGCAAGTCATGCTTGGTGGATATGTGCGAAACGCCTTTTGAAAACAAGCTGAAGAGGAGACAATTCAAGACGTAAAAAGGAATGCTTTGAGAAATTAATAAAAAAAACCACTTTCAACTCACCACTAACTTGGTTCACCGCTTCCGGTATATGGCAACGGAAAACATGGCATTGAAACAACGATTCGCCATGCAGCCAAGTAAAGGCAAAACAACCATTTTCTGCGGTCTCAACGGGGCCACGAAAGTACAAAATAATGCTTTGTATTTCATATGTGGCAATAATGGAACTGGTCTCAGCATCATGCAAGCTATAATGCAAGGGAAAAATACACACACACCCTTGTATATATAGAAAAATATTTAACGAAAGAAGTTTAAAATACTTACACAACAAGCCCATCGGAACAATTAGGTATGCTCACGGAAATTTTAAGCCCCACTGAATCGGAGTTACTGTTCAATTCGTTCATTATGCGGTAAATGTCGACTTCTGATTTGGGTGCATTTATATTTGCTGCTCCTAGATATGTGACTCCAGAAAATATGGTGCAACCTTGATCGATATCTGAAACTAAGTTGCACAAAGAAATTGTTAAAGCAGTACAAAGGTATGTACATATATAAAGCACATTTTAAAAGTATACAAATTCTTACAATGCAAATACAAAATAAAGAACGCAAAAACTTTGAATGAGAGAACACCAAAAACCAAAATAAGTAAGCCTAAGTCTCACCTTCCTCGTCGGTATCATTCTTTTCGGGCTTCATGACATCTTGTTTTTCCTCGACGCAACCGCCAACACCACCTGGACTTGCATCGATGCAATCATAAAAGACCGACTGACCAACTCGGTTATGTTCTGAAATTGACGCGTCATCACTTTTAGGTGTTATAGCATAATCTGGGTGATGGCGATTTAACGATTGCGACTTCATTGCCATCTTGGGGAGAACTAGTTGCTGTTGTTCACAGTCGTTGTCTGGAACCAACAATGCCGGACTCGATGTGCCAGCCAGTGGTAATGTCAAAGATTTTTGTTTACTCAGCGTCACCGCTTTGGCTGCTGTAATATATTGAAAATTTGTATGAGTAAGTGAACTCAGTACATTGAAGTGTTACTAACATGTGGTATAAAAAATTCTCCCTATTTGTGAAAATGAGAGGCGTTATTATCGCGACATATGACGTTGCTTTGAAACAAGAAATTCTTTTTTGTCAGCAGCTGTTTGGTAATTTGTTTTTTGTTTTTGTTTTTTTTTTTCTTATTTTAAATTAGCGAGCCCTACCTCCTCCGGTCAACGGGGAAGGGGGAGCTGATCGAAAGGTAAACAAATAAATAAACGAAAAAAGTATTTATCGCAATCTAATTAAATTGGATTGGCTTGAATGTTTTCAAAAGAGTATTTCACATACATATGTACATATTACAGTACACTCGGAGTTACGCGAACATTACTTGTTGCAAAGCAATAAAAGTAAGTTCTCAAAGGGAATGGTACACAAGCCATAATTTATTTGGGCAGGAGTATTTTTTCGGGCTTAATTTCTACATACACAAACCAGCTCTATCTCGTAAACGTTAGCACCCTTTGTTTTAATTAGTACACGTTAAAAGACATGGGTATTTGCATAGGAATATATGTATCATTATAGCATCACCACCCAAAAGCTCTTTGGGGAGTTTGGATACTGATAAAACAACTACAATAAAAAATTGGTATTTTGTTCTTGATAAATATCTACTAATGTAATAACAACTACGGAATTTTCTAAGTTTTACTATTCGGGAAATTTAGGGATTTTTTTATGATTTTCAGGAACTTATCGGGCACTGTTAGGTCCAAAGTACAATTAAGACATAAATGTAAAGTTATCAGGATTTAGTGAAGTTAAAAATACTAAGTACTTTTGTAAGCGGTTAGAAAAAAAATTAACTAAGTTCTTTTACACTTAGTTTTTAGTAGTAGTTTTTTTATCTACCGAACATGGTCCTCACAGATAAGCGGAGAAAGAAGACAAACTACAACAATCTTAAAACGTTCTATACATATATAAAAATAGACATACCTAATTACTAACAGTTCGAAAACGACCTGACTCAAAAATTTATTTCAGCAATTTCAGTATTTTCATTTGAGATAGGGCGTTTATGAACCGAGATGTCAGATAGGATGTACTGTAACCAAATTCTGTTAAGTTTTTATTTTGCTGTTTAAGTAATTACTCAGCCTAAACTTATTTCTACGCCTTTGCTGGGGATCCATTAAGAATAAAATTAATTGAATATGACAATGTAGGGCTTGGAATCTCATGTACTAAAAAATCGAAAATGTGCGCAATAATATGCAATCAAAATTCAAAAATATGCGCTATTAACAAATAAAATATGTAATCAAAAATATTTTCCTAATATTCCAGGAATGGCTTGCCGAGTGTCTTAAGCCTCATCCTTGCGAGGGCTGGACACGCGCACAGGAAGTGTTCGACTGTCTCTTTTGAACCAGGGCGACAAAACCTGTTGAAGGGCAATCCAATCCTTTCAACATGTATCCCACCGGGACTGTACCCTATGCACTAGGGTGATTTAGAAAAAACAATTGTTTTTTTTCCTCGGAACCACGCTCAAAAGTGTCGTTTAGACACCAAAATAAGTCTCAGAAAATATGAGCCCTTAATATTAATATTAAGAATGTCCGCAAGGCACTTTTCGATTTCCCATAAGAATAACATAGGAACATTTTTTTTTTTTAAATTCTGATTTTTATATTTAACGAACGATACGTTGTACTGTATGGTCTTGAAATAGTGGAGTAGAGAATTGAACAAAAAAGGTCTTAAGTCATTTTTCAATAAGTCAACTCGGTCAAAAGTTATTTTAAATTCAACATTCTTTCTACTTTGACCTCGCATAACTTTTGCTTGGCTATCCGAGAATATATTCAGATGAATATTTGGGAAAAAAATATATGTAATTTTTTGTCAAGAGATTTCGCACTAAATTTAAATGGTTGCAAATCAAAAAAGTAGAAATACGCAAAAACTCTATGCGTTTATTGTAAAGTATACTAAAAAATTCGCAATAAATATGCAGAAACAGGTATTTTTTGCATATATGCAAAACTATGCATGCTACGACAAACACCGCTACTAAAATCATTAGATAAGTGAATAAGCAAAACAGATGTCTATCACAATGAAGCAAATAAAGGCATTGACATCGTCGAGCTAGAAATAAAACTTTAACATACATATAGGAATGCACATGTATTAAATCATTTTCGCGTCGCAGATAGTAGGTAAGTAATTGTGTCTTAGGAACCAATGTATTTTCATTTCCATAATAAAATGATGTTATTCACGTGAGTAGCATAGTGCTTAGTGACCTTTGCAGCTAGAACCTATACATACATATGTACATATATGTTTAACATTAAAGATTTTTTATATTATATTATATGCACTGGTATCATTATATCCAAATCATTTTCAGCTTAATGTACAAGTGAACGAAATAAATACAAATACATACATCCATACATATGTATGTATCTACATCCCCATTCCGCAATCTAAACCTACATTTTTAAAGTGGTGCACTTTGTCAATCTACCTGTAGTAATGGATGCATTTCTATGTATGTAAATGATTAATTAATTAACTTACCAGTTGAAGACGCATCACAGTTAACATCTAGTTCTCTCAAAGCGTCAGTCATAGCGTGTTGCAAATCAGTAATATTGCGGTTGTTAGCGATGTTTAGCGTTGGTGATTTGCTACTCATCGGCGTAACTAAAACGGATCCTGTGTCCGATATTTGCTGTTCAATGGGTGTTGTAATATTGCTGTCAGAAACAATTTCATACTCTCCACTTGTGGTTAATGAGGATTCAGAAGATTTCCTGCTAAGGTTGTCATCCATGACTCGATAGTAGATATATGTAGACGGGTACAAATACTCAACCTCGTTTTACCAGAATTTCAATATTATCCCTTTGTACTCGTTTCTAGACTTGCAGTAACTGTTGTAAATGTAAGCGCTGTACGAAAGGTCATACATTAGGTATGTATGTACATTTGCAAGTATGCTACTCCAGGTAGATATGTAAGTGCGTATTATAAGGGACGGCGGCGTTAAGGTTTGGGACAATATGTACCCAATGTATTCAGTTTGAATAACAATGAAAATGGAAACTACGTTGGAACTCTTGACTGGGATCCCATCATTTCGAAGATTGCTAATTTACTTTACATTTTCTAATACTATCCCGGTGCTCGATTGATTGACCCAAGCGGTGAGTTCAAATTATTCAAGTGAGTCTGGTGAATGTTTGAGCTGAAAGTAAAATATTGAAAGCAATTAAAAGCTATGCGATTCACTCGTCTTTTTTCGAACTGATCGATGATGACGAATCGCAATCGCTGTTGCTGCTATGATGGCAAACACACGAAGTATGTAGGTAAATTACAATATTTTGGTGGGTGGTGCGCCCGCTTCCTGCACTAGTCACCCATCAGCCAATGGTTCCTTTTATCGAATTTGGACCACACACACAATCTCTCGAAAGAGGTTTATATTCAAGCGTACTTTTTATAACTTTAGCTCCAAGTTTAACTTTTTATCCCTTTTCTTGTGTTTTTCGCTTTTAATTTTTGTTTTGGTAATGATTTTCACAATTTTAATGTTGATAATTTAATACAACTATTTTTGCCGTTCTATACCTTTTCTCGCTTCGCAACTTGTGTGCAAACTTGTATGCGCAAATTTCCACTTTTTTTTACGATAAAACGAAATGTCAAACAAAGCGAAACGTCAATTCATTGGAAAATGCAGTAAAGGAAGTCATTGGATTGGACGGCCGGAAGTCATTGGAATGAACTACTGGAAGTACAGGGTCACTATACACTCATTCCTAGGCAGCTGACACGATCTGTCTTACCAGAGCGCCGTTGTATCCCGTAGCGCAGAAATCTGCGAAATTTAGATTTTTCCGTGTCACCTGATTTCTCCCCTCTATAGATGGTTGCCACTTCGTCCGTTTTGCAGATGGTAAAAAAGTGATAATTTCCTATTCAAAATACGTTTAAAATATTTGAAATTTACTATTGAATAAGGTTTTT